CTTCAACTTGAACACTGACAAACTTGAAGATTCGGCGGACTTTGATGTTTCAATCTGAAAAAATTTGAGGGCTCAAATACTTCCACTTGAAGACCAATGAGTTTCAGGACCTCAACTTAAAGACTTCAAATTGGAGACCTGGAGGGCTTAGGTATCTCAACTTGAAGTCTAGTGAACTTAAGGACTTCAACTTGAAGGCCGATGGACTTAGAGGGCTTGAATACTTCAACTTAAAGACTGGCGGATTTGCAGACTTCAACTTGAAGACCAAAAATTTGAAGGTTTGGCGAACTTGAAGGCATAACGAATTACCAGGCTTCATTGCAAATACTTGGTAGCCTCCTAAAAGACTATAATCATTCCATTGAAGACACAAATTTACCATGGAAGCTTGCCCCTTTTAAATCAAATGAGATCAAATTTCAACAGGAGGATGGCATTTCAGCTTTATTTTACATTCCTTCATACTTCACTTGAGCAACAATTGGGGCAATATGTATCTTTTGAACTTATGTGACTGAACTTAGAATGAAACTCTAAGCTGCCTACGTACCCCGGTGAAGAGAATCAAGTCATACCGTAGTTCAGACTGAGTAGATTTTTTTTTTAACCTCCTAACTTTTGCCTAGGGCGCCTCTTTCGAGATTTTCAACCTAGCGGATTTTTTTTTTTACGTCCTAACTTTTGCCTAGGCCGCCTCTTTCGAGATTTTCAACCTAGCAGACTTTTTTTTGGGCCGTACACTTTATACTCTTGCGGGCCAGGAGTGTAGCAGTATGCAGTTTAGGCTCGTGCGTCAAGGAGCGTCATGACTTGCAGTTTAGGCTCGTACGTCGAGGAGCGGCACAATTTTAAGGATAATAGTTCTTTAAGAATTTGCCATTGATGGGGCCGATTCTCATGCCATCTGCATCAACCAGCTTGTAAGCCCCACTTGAGTAAGCTTCTTGTACGACATATGGCCCATCCCATTTTGAAGTGAACTTCCCTACAGGTTTATGGGAAGTAATTACGGGTCTTCGTACTGCAAGGACTTGATCTCCTACTTGAAAGGATCTCGGGCAAACTCTTTTATTGAAGGCGCGAGATTATCGAGCTTGATAACATTCAAGACTCTGTTGAGCTTCCAATCTCTTTTCATCAAGAGCTTCCAACTCTGCTAATCGAAGTCGAGCGTTTTCTTCATCAGTGATCCCTTCTTGAATAGCCAGTCGTAACGAAGGTATTTGACGCTCAAGTGGCAAGACGGCTTCGACTCCATAAACGAGTGAATAAGGAGTCGCTTGTGTTGGCGTGCGGTGAGTCGTCCTGTATGCCCATAGAGCTTCTTCCATACGGTCATTCCAATCTCGTTTGGATTTGGAGACGACTTTCTTTAACAAGTTGCATAGAGTCTTGTTGAATGCCTCAGCTAGATCATTGGCGGCAGCATTGTACATCGAAGAGTTACGTTGCTTGAAGCCAAAGAGATCACAAATCTTGTTCATCAACCTATTATCGAATGGCTTTCCATTATCCGTTATTATGTAACGAGGAATGATAAATAATGTTTACTCGGATGAAACTTGCAACATTTTCCTTCTTTACTTCCTTAAGAGCAACAGCTTCAGCCCATTTTGAGAAGTAGTCAATTGCAGCCAAGATGTATAGGTGTGCACCAGAGACTTTGGCAGTGGTCCAACAACATCCAATCCCCAAGCGTCAAATGGCCAGGATGCAACAGTCGGGTGCAACACTTCAGGAGGTTGATGAATAAAATTCGCATGGAATTGGCAAGCCTTGCATCTTTGAGCGTAGTCCAAGCAATCTTTTACCATCGTTGGCCAATAATATCCCATCTTTTTTATATGGAAGTGAAGCTTTGGTCCAAACTGGTGTGACCCACATACCCAGAATGTGACTCTTGCAAAGCTTGGAGAGCTTCTTCTTCTCCTAGGCATCGCAAGAGTACTCCCTCGAATGACCTCCTGTATAGAGTACCCTTGTAGTAAAGGAAGCGAGGTACACGATGACGGATTTCAGTCATTCTCCTCGGATTTTCTGGAAGTATCCCATAGCATAAGTAGTCGATAATGGGTTGTCGCCATTCTTCTTTCGCAACTTCAGAAACAGCAACAAGATGCTTGAGTTCGTTTTCTTCACCTTCAGCCTCATTTGGCGGCGGTACTACCCATTTTTGGCAGACGGTAACTTGCGCTTGGTCAGGCAGGGCTAATGATGAAGCTAGAGCAGCTAAAGCATCAGCCTTCTTATTTTCTTTCCTTGGCACATGCTGAATAGTCACATCACCGAGCCACCCCATCAACTTTTTAGCGTAATCATGATATGGGCGTAGTTCAGTCTTCTTATCCTCGTAACTACCCAAAAGCTGATTGACCACTAACTGGGAGTCACCAAAGACTTGCAATTGCAATTGCTTCGTATCAACGGCCATTTCAAGCCCAAGTATTAATGCTTGATACTCAGCAACATTCTTGGAACAGAGTTGTGTCAAGGTGAAGGAGTGGCAAGACTTCACCTTGGGGAGTGACAAATACTACGCCAGCCCCGGCTCCCCCACGATGCGCAGCACCATCAAAGTACATCTTCCATGGAGGTTGAATTTCAACGACCATTGCGTCCTTATCAGGTAGTTCATCAGTTAGCTCCCAGTCATCAGGTATCGGATGATCTGCCAAGAAGTCTGCCAATGCTTGTCCCTTTACAGCCTTTTGAGGGATGTACAAAATCTCGAATTGTTGAAATTGGAGGTACCATCTCGCTATTCGATCACTAAGAACAGGTTTTGACATCACGAACTTGATGGGATTTGCTTTAGAAACAAGACGGACAACATGAGCTTGAAAGTAGTGCTTCAACTTTTGAATTGAGAAGACTAGCGCCAAACACAACTTCTCAATTGGCGAATAATTCAACTCATTTGGTGTCATCATCCTGCTCAATTAGTAAAGAGAGTTTTCTTTCCCCTCACTATTTTCTTGGGCCAACAGTGCTCCAACAGACCTTTCATGCGCCGCAATGTATAGTATCAATGGCTTTCCAGGTATAGGAGTTGCTAAAACTGGAGGCTTCATCAAGTAGGTTTTGATACTTTCGAAAGCATTGCTACAAGATTGGTCCCACTTGAAAGGAATGCCTTTCTTTATGAGGCAACTAAATGGTTGACACCTCCCAGCCAGGTTTGATATGAATCTTCTAAGGTATGCTAGCTTTCCTTGCAGACTTTTCAATTCATGGATATCTCGAGGCTCAGGCATTTTCAAAATGGCATCCACTTTGGCTTGATTAATTTCGATCCCTCGATGTCGGACAATGAAACCAAGGAACTTTCCAGAAGTAACTCCAAAGGCACATTTCAATGGATTCATCCTAAGTTGGTACCTCCTGAGCAATTCAAATACCATCCTCAAGCCTTTCATGTGGTCGCCCTTCTCTCTTGATTTCACCACCAAGTCGTCAACATAGCATTCGACATTCTTGTGGAGAAGATCGTCAAAAATATTCTGCATAGCCCTTTGGTAAGTAGCACCAGCGTTCTTCAAGCCAAAAGGCATTACCTTGTAGTAATAAATACCCTTTGGGGTATGGAATGCAGTAAGCTCTTCATCTTTTAGTGCCATGCGTATTTGGTTATAGCCCGACGAACCGTCCATGAAAGACATTGCCTCGTAACCAGTAGTAGCATCAATCATCAGCTCTGGAATAGGAAGCAGAAATTCATCTTTCGGACATGCATTGTTGAGATCTCTAAAGTCAACGCACACTCGAATTTGGCCATTCTTCTTTCTTACAAGGACAATACTTGAAACACATGTTGGGTATTTAACATCGCGAATAAAGCCAGCTTTGATGAGTTTGTTAACTTCGGTTTCGATTAAGGGAACCAAGTCTGGCCTAAAACGCCTTTGAGCTTGTTTAACAGGGCGAGCACCATTTTTGACTGCAAGGTGATGGACTGCTACTTTCGGGTCCAAGCCAGGCATCTCTTTGTAACTCCAAGCAAAGACATCCCTGAACTCTTTGAGTAACTCAATATAAGTGCTCTCTTCATCAGCTTCTAGTAAAGCACTTAGGTAGGTAGGTCTTGGTTCTTCATCGGTGCCAAGGTTAACTTCTTTTAAGGCATCAACTGTCGTCTTCACTCCTTCTTCAAGTTCAAGTGGAGCATCTTTTGCATCTTCATCTTCATGAGGGTCCCCATCATTGAAGGATATGTGATAACACGACGAAACATCCTCCAATTCCGCATTATCTTCCATTGAAGATGGAATGCCATTCTCGACTTGTACAGTAACATGATACGAAGAACCCACACTTTCTCCATCTTCATCATGTTCCTTAGTATAGACCACAGTATATGGCTTTACCTTCAGTACTCCTTTACATGAAACCATAAGTTTTGTTTGTCGCCTCATTCTAGAAGGAACCAAACTTTGGAAATCCTTAAAGATCTCATGGATTTTGGGTGAAGCGGGTGTTCTTATGCTTTGGAAATTTCTCTGGAACTTGTTCCCCTTCTTTAGTGGACCCAATCTTTCAAACACGGAGGTCCTCACAGGTGATTTGCCAAGTCGATCAAAGACAAAAGGTTTGTTAGAAGCGGCTGATTCATCTTCTACAGTGATATAATTGTTGCTCGCCCTTCTTATTGAGATGCGCACTGGTGACGGTTGTTTGTATCCCAAACCTTCACGTGGTTACCTCGTTGCAGCTTCTGATGGGAGCTTCCCTAACTTTGACGGCTCATTGGGATTGTATCCAGCTTTTGCAAATAGCTTGTAAGCGTTAGGATCAAAACCTTCATCTGTTCGCTTTGTAGTGAGTGCCACATTCTGCAAACGATTTTGGGCTACAAACCCTGCAAGCGGCATTGAGGACGACTTTACTGCCTCAATTCGTTTGACCGGAAGAGTTAACTCCTTTAGCATGTTAGCTTGGCGATTAAATGATTCACCTTCATCTTTCTTCCTTTTAGGGACATATTGGAGTGCCGGACTTACTTTCTTGCCATAAGACGTAATATTCCCTCCATAAGATTTATGCGCGTTGGGTTGTACCTCATTACTAACAGCTTTGGCTTCACCAGTAGTCACCTCTTCTCTTTTAGTTGAGGGCTCTTTATTCTTGCTTTTCATGCCATCATCAGCTTTCAGCTCCTTCACAATGCGGTTCTTCAAGTAGAACTTTGCATCGGCGAAGTGTGACTCAGCCTCGGTGAATGGCTCATCATCAGCAACTACCGTCTTCTCGACTTCACCCTCGTAGTATTTTAAACATTGATGGTAGGTAGATGGAACTACTTTATTCTCATGTATCCAAGGCCTCCCAAGCAAAACATTGTATGAAGTCTTCACGTCGATCACATGCAGCCATGCACTTGATTGCATATCTTCAATAGTGATTCCCAGCCTGATCGCGCCTATGGCTCTTTGCCCCCCTTGGTTGAATCCTTGGATCATCACACGACTTTCTGAGAGTTCGTTCATGGGAATACCAAGTTCTTTCACAGTGTGGATTGGCAAAATGTTCACTGAGGATCCTCCATCAACCAAAATCCGATTTACCCTTTCATCGCGCATATAGCCAACCAGGTACAATGGGCGGTTATGAGGAGTGTCACCTAGCAAAAGATCGTCATTTGTGAACGTGACCTTTTCCTCACAAGCATTAACTTCTTGAGGAGTGGACTCGATGGGCTTTTCCGAAGATGGTGCCAACGGTAGGTCATCACTCTTTTCTTCCCCTTTGTCAGCATGGCAACAAGAGGCATCAATGCCCTCATGGGAAATCTTCGTGCGGAACCAACTTGGTAAAAACTCCTCCAAGGTCACTGGATTTCGTGGCTTTTGAGGGTGGTGCATCTCCACTTTTGCTTTCTTCAAATGCCTAACTGGATTCCTTTTTATGGGTCTTTTTACCATCATCTTCCTTGTTGGTTGTTCCACTAATTCTATTCGTGGGCTCCTTTTGTGGCGCCTATGACGAGTCACCAACGTCCAACCTTCATCATCATCAGGTTGGTTGACTTCAGCTTTGTCGCTCTCTAGTAATTCTTCATTTTTACTTTCTTTAAAACCATATAATTCATCCGAACTGAATGAGCCAAAGGTGATAGAGAATTGGTTTGCGCTTTTTTTCTCATCTTCAAGCACGATCTTCTTTTCGCGAGCCAAGTCCATGACTTTATCCTTGAAGACAAAGCACTTCTCCAGAGGGTGGCTTACTAGTCGGTGATATTTGCAGTAATTTGGGTCATTTGTTTTCCCAGCTTCATTTGGCCGCTTCATCTCTGGAAGCTCAATGAGATTTAACTCAAGGAGTTCTTCAAGGATAGCTGGCACATCGGAATCTAGAAATGGGTACTCTTTCTCTTGCATTTCTTTTAAAGTCAACTTTCCACTTGGCTTATCGTGAAAAGAAGTGGATTTCATACTCTGCTTTTTGCTCACCTTCGTCGTGAACTTCATAGGTGACGTGTTGACATTCATAGCTTCTTTGCTTTCAGACTTGGGTACGAACTTGCCCCACTTTCTAACTTCTTGCTTGTCATTCGCTTTGCGAGGTTCATAGATGGGCAGCCTTTCATTTCCAGCGGAGGCCATGCTCAATTCCATGTCATGGGCACGAGTTGCAAGTTCTTCAAATGTGC